GTGCAAACTTAACCACTGCACCACTGGGCCAGCCTCTATTTTTTTTTGAAGAAAAAAGTAAGGTGAATCTAAACCCAATTCTGGGTTTCAATTAATTTAGGCGCAAAAATTAGTGAGTTTTACATAGAATATTTACTTTTAAAATGTATGCTATGGAAATGGATAATATTATTTTTAAGAAAAACTTAAGTGTCAGTGTTTTCTTTGTTAAACAATTATAAAATAGAAATAACATTTCTGATCTTGGTTCTTAGAAACAAAGCTAAACTAGATTTGTTTTGTCTTTAGAAAGAATGTAGAGAACTTAATTTAGGAAGTATGTACTTCTTAAAATGAAGATGAATTACTGTTCCTGTTTATAATTTAGATAAACCAGGAAAGGAAGTTAATAAACTGAGTGAGCATGAAGGATCCATCTCTCCACTACTTTTTGAAGATAGTCCTCCTGATTTGCAGCTCCCAAGAAATCCTTTCCAAGTGAACTTTGAAGAACAAAATAATCCTCAAATACTCCAAAGCTCCGTTGTTTTTGGAACATCAGCGGAGGAAGTGGTAAAGGAAATTCGTTTCAGAATTGAGCAAAAAACAACATTGACAGCCAGTGCAGGTACTTAAAAGGATATTGTTGGCTATAATAGTTAGAATTTTCAGACTGGCTAATTCAAGTGTAATATTAGTAGTTTCTCATTGTAAAGTATATAGTAACATTTTACTTACCATTTTTTGATTGAACTTCTAACCGCTTTATCTATTCAGAATGCCTAGAACCTAAAGGCAAAATGGAATTAAGCAGAAAAGCCTATGAGCCCACGGAAAAAACTATCATAAATCTCATGTAGCTATCCTTTTTTAAGCACAAAATATATTTTAATTGGTTTTGGACATAATACTTTATTAACTTTCCTTTGGGAGACTTCAGCCCTGTCCAGGATTACAGTGCGAGAGAGACCCCAGATGGCCACAAGGTAGGAGACAGAAGAAACACCAACTAGCAACATAGCAATCTAGGACCATCTGGTGAAGGGAAAAAGCTTTACATATGTCACTAACCCAGGAGGGTATCATTATGTCTCAGCATAGAAACTGATATTCATCATGAGGACCCTAAATTATCTTATAAAAGCCATATTATGATTAGGTTAGTCTTTTCTTTCTATCCAAAACCAAAGCATGAGAATCAGTAATAAATTTTAGGAAGGTGTGTATAAAAATTGAACTGAACTATTTAATGATTATATTTGAATATAACTATTTCAAGTTATCTTAATCATTAACACTCCTATTGTGAAACACTTTTCTGAGAAGTAGTAATCTGCTTTGTGAGTAACATAAAAAGGATGCACGCAGTTCATTATCATTGTGTTTTTCTTTTTTTAATAATTTTATTTATTTATTTATTTTCCCCCCAACGCCCCAATAGATAGATGTACATCATAGCTGCACATCCTTCTAGTTGCTGTATGTGGGATGCAGCCTCAGCATGGCCGGAGAAGCGGTACGTCGGTGCGCGCCCGGGATCCGAACCCGGGCCACCAGCAGCGGAGCGCGCGCACTTAACCGCTAAGCCACAGGGCCGGCCTCATTATCATTGTTTTAAATATACTGCAACCCAGAACCTTTGATTTTTTTTTTTTTTTTTTTTTTGGTGATGAAGATTAGCCCTGAGCTAACATCCGATGCCAGTCCTCCCCTTTTTGCTGAGGAAGATTGACCCTGGGCTAATATCTGTGCCTGTCTTCCTCTACTTGATATGGGATACTGCCACAGCATGGCTTGACAAGCGGTGCATTGGTGTGCACCTGGGATCTGAACCTGCGAGCCCTGGGCTGCTGCAGCGGAGCGTGCACACTTAACCACTAGGCCACCGGGCCAGCCCCTGATTTTTTTCTTTATGTGAATCATATATGCAAAAGACCTTTTCAAAAAGTAAACATCTATCCTAAGTTACATCTGGTTCTTTATTTCTGTAAGACAGCTGTGTACTCCTACTAAAGATAGTAAGTAAACGAATAATATCACTTAAACTTAGAAATTACTCTTAGACTTTAAAATACCATTGAGATTTAAATATTCCTTATTTCTGCTGCCACAGTAACTAATACAATTCCTTTTCCTAAAACTATAGCAAGCCCTGGGGAGATAGATAGTAATCAAATGTTATTTTTCAAGTAGCATTCCACATTATTTCAGATTTTTTTGCACTTAACATTATTGTTTTTTTCTGTATTGTCATCATATACTTTAAAATCATACATATCAACTTCTTTGAGTCATCAGAGTGTTCTTCTTTTAAGGCATTGCCCCAAATACAATGTTAGCCAAAGTATGCAGTGATAAGAATAAACCAAATGGACAATACCAAATTCTCCCCAACAGACAAGCTGTGATGGACTTCATCAAGGACTTACCCATTAGAAAGGTGAGATTTTATATAAAATATACCCTGAATTCTGAAGAGATGCTATTTAGGATGATGGGAATCATTGTTTGCCAAAAAGTTTTAAAACAGTAGTTAATAAGCAAGAACGATAAGGGATGATTGAATTTAGACTTGAAGAAATCTTTCTATGAAACCCTAAAAGGTTTAAGAAGCTTATTTGTTGAAAAGTTTTAAGAAAGTAATAGATAACAGACTTTTTAAGTGTACCCCTGCCAAGGAGAAGAGAAATAAAAAGAATACTTGTAAGAGTTCTTTCAGCTGTAACTTAATATGCTATCTTAGTTCTAAAGTCCAGATTGCTGCCAGACTAATAGGTATAATATTTCAACAATGTTTAGAATTTTAACTATTTTTGACAAAAAATAAACCAAAATACTTTACTGTCTTTAAAATGGTAAAATGATTCTTCAGCAGTTTTAGAAAGGGTATATTTTATCATTTTTTAAAGCTTCCAGATTTTTCTGCATATATACGCTTTTTCTTTTTTTGTACAATAATTGTACTCTACACTATTTGATGTCCTAGGGCTTGCTTTTCTCACTCAACATAATGTATATGAGTGAATTTTTTGTGTGTGTGTGTGTGAGGAAGGTCAGCCCTGAGCTAACATCCATGCCAATCCTCCTCTTTTTGTTGCTGAGGAAGGCTGGCCCTGAGCTAACATCCGTGCCCATCTTCCTCCACCCTATGTGGGATGCTGCCACGGCATGGCCTGATAAGCAGCGCGTCGGTGCCCGCCCGGGATCCGAACCCGGGCCGCCAGCAGTGAAGCGTGCGCACTTAACCGCTACGCCACGGGGCCGGCCCCTGAGTGAATTTAAATAAAGCATTTTTCTATGCTCAGAAGAAAGGCTATGTCAAAGCATAAAATGTATAATGATTACTGAATAGTTTAATATATGTAAAGTGTAGCTATAAAGCAGTGCTTTATATTTTTCAAGGTATGGTTAGATGCTCCATCAAAAAGGTTTCTGGAGTCAGATAACTTTGGAACGTACCATCCTTGGGTCACAACAATATTATATTAAAAATTCATAAGTCTTGCAATAAAGAGTTCATTTTAAGTTTGTTTTTCCCACCATTTCCCAAGTATATGACCACAGAACTCTCTTTTTAATGTTTTTTAAAATCTCATGGAATTTTAAGTTTAAAATTTTAAATGTCCGTGGAATACTAGTTTAGGAAATGTGGCCAAAAAGTAATTAAAGAGATTTTTTGCATGACTTGTGAAGCTAGTCACATTATTCTTACCTTTTATTGGTTATAAAAGGTATATTGAGATTATAATCTCAGTTCTTACCTTAATTTAAAAATATATTAGTGATAAATATTGATTCTTTTCTAGGTTTCTGGAATAGGAAAAGTTACAGAGAAAATGTTAAAGGCTCTTGGAATTATTACATGTACAGAACTCTACCAACAGAGAGCATTACTTTCTCTCCTTTTCTCTGAGACATCTTGGCATCATTTCCTTCACATTTCCCTGGGTCTAGGTTCAACACACCTGGCAAGGTATCTATATGTGTAGTCCTTCTGCTTTTTCTTTCAGTTTTAACCATTGAAATGGAGGCTATAAGGATAACATGTTTTAAAATTCTTATAGGCTCGTTAAATTCAGAGTATAATTTTTGAATTAAACTCAAAAGATTGGCTGTGGGAGGAGAGGAAAGGAGAAATAAAGAATCACTCCTGGGTTGTCGGCTGTATGGATAGATGGACAAGAGGGATGGTGGGTACTTTCTTTTCTGTACCCGCCTTATTTTTTGTTTAGGGCATAAAAATAGTGGTGGTCAGATTGCTGAGGAAAGAAAGATGGCTCATATTCCAGAATTCACCCTTTAAGATTTAATGATTCTTTGAAACCCTTCATGAACTAACTCTATTTCTTTTCTTTTCCAGAGTTGTAGATGATCCATTCATTCAGACTGAGTGCTTTCTTTGTGTTAGGCACTGTTCTAGACATTGGGGATAATAGCAGTCAACAGGACAAAGTCCTGCCCTTGTGGAGTTTAGAGTAGTGTGGGAGATAGAAATGAGGGCACAGAAAATGACTTGGAGGCAAGAGTAGGGGTTGGCAGCAGTCACCAGAGGCAGAGGCCTGAGGGGCAGCCCTGCAAAGATCTAGGAGAAGAGGGAACAGCTGGAGGAGAGGCCCTGTGTTTCCTCTCTGCCACTCTTTCATCTAAGTCTTAAAACAGGTATCCTAGAGCTAGAAGGGTACGCTGTTGGGGTGGGTGAAAAGAAGAGAATAAAAAAAGAATAGGAATCGTGGAAATTGATGCTGGGGGCACTATTTTTACAATTTTATCATCATCTTGTCAGCCTGCCCTCAGAATAACTCGTTTATATTCTTATAGTTAAAGGAAAACAAGAGGATACTGAGGAGGCATATAAAATAAGTTCGATTAACCAATTAAACCTGCTAAATCTTATAGAAATTGCAAGGCTTGTAGTATTGCTTTTCTCATCTCTCCATGCTCCTCATTCTTCTGAGTCCACAGTTAGCTGACTTGGATCTTGAGTGGATATAATGAAAGATAAGAGAAAGACATCATAGTACTATAAGTAATCTAGTATTTGAAGATAATGGGAAATAAAACTTTCTTCTTTAATCCAAAAATTATCCTCTTTTTATTTCCATAGTGCTTGAAAACAGTATAGTTTTTGGTATAACATGGTGCATATTAACCTGTGGTATTTAGGGATGCAGTAATACTGTTAAGTGAAATTCATAGGTAATTTATAGTAATATAAAATAGCAAACTTGCCTTCCCTTCTATCCACTTTCTCTGTTCCCCTGCTCTGCTTTATTTTTTAATCTGTAGTACTTCTCCTCTTTTAACATATTCCATATTTACTTCTATATTTGTTATTTGTCTCCCTCCACTGAAATGTAAGTTTCTTAAGGGCAGACACTTGATCTGTTTTTTTCATTACTGTATCCCCAAGGCCTAGAACAGTGCTCGATTCATAAGTTAATTAAATATTTGGAAAATGAATAATCTACGTGTCATTTCAACTTTCTAGTTTCAACTACTCCTATCAGAGCAGCTAGAATCCAACCAAACTAGATGGTTCCATAGAGGGGTATAAATGAATAATGAATAGGCTATGGGAGAGTGAAGTTAATGTGCTAGGCCAAAAAGCTAGATGATTGATATTAAATTATTCAGAATTTAATTATATCCTAAAACTGCAAGCCAATATGCCACCATATTGGTTTTTGTAAGTTGTGGTTTTTGATATTCAGGCTTTTAATAGAAGCAATGTATAATATGAACCTGTTTTCACATTTGTTCTTTTCTGTAGATATAGACTTGATTCATTACACATGTAATCGTGTTAGCATCTTATCTATCTACATTCTTTGGTGATAGTTTTATTTTTACATTAAAAAGTCACTGTTTTCCATGATGTATAAATTTTAATCAAAAACATTATTGAGCTCTCTGTAAGGTAATTGATATGTTAAATCCTCTTGGTTGACTAAAAGGAATTCAGTCTTCATTGAAAAAGCAAATAAAAACTTTTTCTTTTTTCATTTCAAGAGATGGAGAGAGGAAAAGCATGAGCGTTGAGAGGTAATGTTTTGTTATTATTAATTGTTCATAATTCATGTTATTTTTAACTAATTTTTAATTTTTAGTAAAATATCAATGAAATAAAAAAATCTATCCAAACCAAATAGCAATTTTCAGCAGTTGACACTCCTAAAGTAAATACCCCAGTGCAATGCTGTATTGTCTTTGCTTGCTATGCTCTCAGTGGGAAAAAATTTAACTGCAGTTATTTTTTTACATGTTGATTTTGTTCCTATTGAGTGAAAACCAAGCATTTTAGGATTCCAAATCCTAATTTCTAGCCTTCTTTATAAGAAAAATTATAGTGAGTAATTATTTGGGAAATTTAAGAAGTGACAATGAAAATTCCTCCTGAAACTCTTCAAATGTTGGTGAATGAGCATAGATATCAAATAGTAAGATATTGATGAAAGAGAGCTTAGAGATGATCTAGTTCAGTGGTTTACAATCTTGTTTGGAAGTCAGATGAACTCTTGATGGAACGTTATTTTTGGAGAACTATGTCATTGTTTGAAACGTCCCTCAGTTATCTCCTCAAAGCACCAAAGTTCCACGGAGACATTTGAGAAGCACTGACTTAGTTACAAGGTTGTGTTTATTTTTCACATATATTATTTGTGATTAGAAAAGCTGAATGACTTTTACAAGACAACACACTCAGTAAATGACTGATAAATTTGCTGTTTTAGGCTGTAATTAAAATAAAAGCAATCAAAGGAAAAGAGGGGGAAAAAGCATCCAAAAGTGAAATAGTATTGTCCTATTTTTGTCTTCCATTTTGCCTTTTGTTATTGAGAACACTACTTACTCTAAAAGAATAGTATGGAAAAGGCCAACAAGCCAATAGAAAAAAACGAACAAAGATCTAATTAGTTAACAGAAAAGGAAGTACAAGTGGCTTATAAAACATGTGAAAATATTTACAATCTTCTTTATAATTTAAAAAATACAGATTGAAAGTTCTCTGAAATAGCATTTTTCACCAATCAGGCTGGCAAAGATCCTAACATGCTCTATTGGCAAGACTATGGGAATGAAAAAGCTGTAGGGGGTGTACTAGTTTCTTATTGGTGCTATAATGAAATTTATTCACTTACAGTTCTGAAGGTCAGAAGTCCTCAGATTAAGGTGTTCGCAGGGTTGCATTCCTTCTAGAGGCTCCGGGGGAGAGTCCATTTCCTAGCCAATAGCTTCTAGAGGCTGCTTGTATTCTTTGACTCATGGCCCCATCCTCCATCTTCAAACCCAGCATCTTATTTTTCTCTGACTCTGAGCCTCCTGCCTTCTCTTATAAGGACCCTTGAGATTACATTGGATCCACTTGGATAATTCAGGATACTCTCCCCATCTTAATCATATCTGCGAAGTTCTTTTTACCATGTAATGTACTAGGTTCTGAGAGATAAGGATTTGGACATCTTTGGGGACCATTATTTTGGGAGCATAGCATATTATGAGGGAGCAAGCAATTTGGCAATACCTATCAAAATCACAGATACACAATTACTTTGAGCCCACAGTTCCTTTTCTAGGAATTCATTCCACAGATGTAATCATGTGTCATTTTACATGTATACAAGGTTTTTCATTGCATTTTTTTATGATAGCAAAAATCGAAAATAAGTATCTTAAGTCTTTATAACTTAAATAACTTAAATATATGAGATAGAGTTAGAAGGGGGATTCTTCACTGAATAGTCATTTGCTCAGGGTTTTTTACTCATTACCCTGATCTCCCTTTAGTAGCTTCCTCTTTTATGTTAATATAACCTCTCAACTTCTTTCAACACTCTTGGGCAGATGAATTCAAAATTTCTACGTTTAATCTCACCAGCCCTCCATTTCCAGTTGTCTATTTGACAACTCTTCCTAGGTGCCATGAACCAACCCCTTAAATCTACTTAAAGATATTTCTCTTCCAGAAAATACATGTGCAATAATTGGAATGATGTTCTCATCTGTACTTTCTTAAAATAATGCTCTGTAGCAGAGTCTATATACACTTATATCCTAATGTATTATAAGTCCTAGGGGCATAATCATTGTGTTGGTGATTTTAATCATCTTTTTAAAAAATATTGTAGAGAGAGCAAATGGACCTTTGCTCATCAGTTTAACTATAAATGATCTTCCATTATTTAGGTAGATCTTGAATGTTTTTACTTAATTATATCTTAGTTCATCTGAAAACTTTATTCTGTACTGCAGAAAATATAACTTAATGCTAGGCCATTTAAACGTACTATATCATTCTTAAATTATCCTGAATTATAGTTTACTTTGTGCACCAAAATCATTCTTGTCTTTCTAGGACATTCAGTGAGATAAGTAAAGCAGAAGAACAGTACAGCTTGTGCCAAGAACTTTGCAATGAACTTGCTCAAGATCTGCAGAAAGAAGGACTTAAGGTACTTTATTTTGATATGATGTTCTTAGTTTTTAAAATTTTTAATAATAAAATGCTACCTTAAAGCAAGAGTTATATTTTGCATTTGAATACAAATTGGGAAGTGTCAGGAGTATTCCCATCCCCAATGGAGATAAATTCAGTTCTGACCCATATCTGAGGCCAATGATGAGGTCATTCTGTGAAGAAGCAACTCTGAGGGTGGAATGGCTCCAATATAATTCCAGAGGAGTTTATCCTAGCTCAGGAGTACATTTGAATAAGTTCAAAATCTGTTATATTGGCGTTAGAGAATAAAGCAAAGAACAGGATTTCCCTAGAACTGTATTTACTTATTATAAATGCCTTTCCATCATCCTTTAATGTTTTTCTCAGGCAGACAGTGACCTTCTATAACAGGCATTTTGTTTCAAGGCTCTATGCAGGTTGCTTAACACATTGAGAACAAAACCTGGAAGGCTTTGAACTTTGTATTTTACAATCTTCACTCACAACAATCCATATTTGGTATTTTTCCAACACTCTCAAATCAGAGGTGGAGTTATTACAAAGTGTAACACAAAAGTATTAAAAAGTTATTACAAAGAATGAAGCATCTGATGAGTATTTTTCTTGTAATCCTTCTCTGTCATACCTTGAGTGTAAGAGAGTTCTTTTTTAAATAAACTTTTAATTTTAGAATCATTTTAGATTTACAGAAAAGTTATAAAGGTAATATAAAGAGCTCCATATACCCAGTTTGCCTCACTGTTAGCATCTTATATTAGCATAGTGCATTTGTCAAAACTAAGAAACTGACATTAGCACATTGCTGTAAACTAAACTCCAGACGTTTGGATTTTACCTGTTTTTCCATTAATGTCCTCTTTCTGTTCCAAGATTCAGTCCCAGGAACCACACTGTATTTAGTTTTCATGTCTCCTTGGTCTCTTTTAGTCTGTGACAGTTTCTTAATATTTCTTTGTTTTTCATGACCTTGACAGTCTTGAGGAGTACTGGCCAGGTATCCTGCAGAATGTCTCCCAATCTGGGTTTGTCTGATGGTTTTCTTATGATTAGACAGGATTATGAGTTTTTAGAAAGAATACCACAGAGGTGAAGTGTCCCTCTCATCATGTCCTGTCAAGGTGTATGGTAGCCACATGATATCACAAGTGATGTTAACCTTCGTCACTTGGTTAAGGTAGTAAGGGCTTTTCCACTGTGAAGTTCCTGTTTTCCCCTTACCATACTCTATTCTTTAGAAGTAATTCAATAAGTCTAACCCACTTTCACAATCTCCAGCAGGTAGTAAAATATACATAACATAAAATTTACCATTTTGACCATTTTTAAGTGTACATTTCACTGGCATTAAGTACATTCATATTGTGCAACCATCACCACTCTCAATCTCCAGAAGTTTTCCATTATACCAAACTGAAACTCTGTACCCATTAAACAAGTACTGTGAAGGGAGTTCTTACATGTAAATTGTTTCACATAGTATCTGGCATATAGTAGGCACACAGTGTGAGCTATCCACAAGAACTTTTTCAATGGGGCCCTTTTAGAAAGATTTTTTTTCCTTCCTTTTTAGGTACCAAACTAACCTCTAAAAGAAATTCAGTAAAATGAAAAATGATCAGTTAACTTTGCCCTTTATATAAAGGTCTTTTATAAGAATTCAGCTGGGGAGGGGAGTAATAATTATTGGCTAAAATGGGATTTTTAGGTTACTTACAGATTTTAATTTTTTTTGTTTTGTTTTGGTGAGGAAGATTGTCCCTGAGCTAACATCTGTGCCAGTCTTCCTCTACTTTGTATATGGGACACTGCCACAGCATGACGTGATGAGCAGTGTGTAGGTCCACGCCTGGAATCTGAACCAGTGAACCCCAGGCCACCAAAGTGGAGTGTGTGAACCTAACCACTACACCACCGGGCCAGCCCCAGATTTCAATTATTTTTATGACCATTTTCATTACCATGTTTTATAAATAATTGATTACAGTTCCATATTGTATGTACATGAGAGACCTTCGTGAATTTTTTCTAACCTGTAAAATAACTTTTTTCTAGAAGTTAGAAAGTCATATATATAATGTATCCTGTTTGTCATAGGGTAGAACTGTTACCATTAAGCTGAAGAATGTGAATTTTGAAGTAAAAACTCGTGCATCTACAGTTTCATCAGTTATTTCTACTGCAGAAGAAATATTTGCTATTGCTAAAGAATTGCTAAGAACAGAAATTGATGCTGATTTGCCACATCCCTTGAGATTAAGGCTTATGGGTATGACTTCTTTTCTTGTTTTTCCTTAAATCTGCTAGACTAAAGTTTAAATTAGTTTAATTCCAGTAAGAACCAACTAAAGTTGTTCTTTTCCTTACTGCTTACTGAAATCCTTGGGGCTAGATATGTTTCAAAATTTAAAACTTCTCAGATTTTAGAAAGCAAATTCAGTGCATATTATTGAGTATATTATATAATACTCCTTTGCGATCTAATGCAGCACTTCATGATCAAACACATTAATATTTCTTTAGCAGAACAAAAAAAAATATTCACACTGAGTTGTAAAGGCTCTGAATAACCCACATCAATTACCATTTATTGCTTACGATTTTGAGAGCTTTTTGGATTTTGGAATTACGGATAAGGGATTGTGGTGCTATAAAACCACATCTCTAGCCACCACAAGGTAAAAAAAGCAAAGAACCATGTTTCCAAAGTGAACTGGATGAGAGAATGTTTATGGATAAGCACTCGAAATGCCAACTTTACTACTAGGAATGGATTGTTAGCCATACTTTCATTTAGGAAAGGTAGTACACACTGAAGTCAATTAAATAAAGTATCTTAACTAAAAGAGCTAAAGAGCAGATGTTAATAGCAGCTTTATTCATAATTGCCGAAACTTGGAAGCAACCAAGATGACCTTCAGTATTGGGTGAAAGGAAACTGTGGTACATCCAGACAATGGAATATTACTCAGCAGGTAAAAGAAATGAACTACCAAGCCGTGAAAAGATGTGGAGGAACCTTAAATGCATATTACTAAGTGAAAGAAGTCAATCTGAAAAGGCTACGTACTGTATGATTCCAACATTTGACATTCTGGAAAAGACAGAACTATGAAGACACTAAAAAGATCAGTGGTTATCAAGAGTTGAGGGGAGGGAGGCATGAATAGGCAGAGCACAAAGGATTTTTAGGGCAGTTAACTATTCTGTGTGATGCTATAATGGCGGATACATGTTATTATACAGTTGTCAAAACCCATAAAATGTACAACACCAAGAGTGAACCCTAATGTAAACTATGGACTTTGAGTGATAATGTTGTGTCAGTATAGGTTCATCAGTTGTAACAAATCTACCACTCTGGTTCAGCATGTTGATAGAGGAGGAGGCTGTACATGTGGGGGCAGAGGATATATGGGAACTCTCCATATTTTCTGCTCAATTTTGCTGTGAACCTAAAATTGCTCTAAAAAAATAAAGCCTATTGAAAAAATAGGGAGCTAAAGAGTATGTCATTGACTCCAGTTAGTTACTTAATTAGTGTCATGTGTATCATGTATCAGATGATGTCATGTGTCAGATATTAATTGAAAGACCTATATAATCAAGCTAACTCCAATAGATATTTAATATTTAGTGATACCTCATTTTATAAAGTAAGTCTCCACTCAAAATACCAGCTTTGAAAAAGCATCCCTTTAATTCAGAAAATATATTGTGTTGCTTGTTATTTTTCTCTAAACAGCTTTTTTTATATGTCACAATAGTATGCAAAATGTTTTTATGCTTTATGAGTGAATTGGCTTTGTTGACTTTGGAATTGATTAATTGTGGTTGGTTTAATTTAGGTGTGCGGGTATCTAGTTTTCCCAATGAAGAAGACAAGAAACACCAACAAAGGAGCATTATTGGCTTCTTACAGGCTGGAAACCAAAGCCTGTCAGCCACTGGGTGTACACTAGAGAAAACTGACAAAGATCAGTTTCTAAAACCTCTAGAAATGTCTCATAAGAAGAGTTTCTTTGATAAAAAACGATCGGAAAGGAAATGGAACCACCAAGACACATTTAAATGTGAAACTGTGGATAAACAAAGTTTACAGACATCCCAATCATTCCAAGTTTTAAAGAAGAAGATGAGTGAGAATTTAGAAACGTCAGAGAATTCAGATAACTGTCAGATATTTACCTGTCCTGTTTGCTTTAGGGAGCAAGGAATCATCAGTCTGGAAGCCTTTAATAAACATGTAGATGCATGTCTTGATGGGCCTTCGATCAGTGAAAACTCTAAAATGTCCTCATGTTCACATGCTTCCTCTACAGAAGTTAACAAGAAAGAAAATGTACATCCTTCTTTTTCACTCTGTGAGAAGCAGGATTATGAAACCCATCAGAATATAGAAATCACTTCAATAGATTGTGTAGAGTTGGTAGAGACTGTAGGTAACCCATCTAAAGCAGAAGGTGTAGATGCTTTAAGTGATAAGCACAGCAAAGAGGAGTGTTGTAGTCTTCCAAGCAGACCATTTAATGTTGAACACTGTCATCAGGATTCTTGTACTGGTTTCTTGGAAAATGAAGATGTTGAGTCCCTAAGAAGGCAAGAAGCCCTCCAACCTTATTTACGTGAAATGGTAGCAGACCAAGCTCTAGTCTGTCCTGTTTGTAACCTGGAACAAAAGACTTGGGATCTCACCCTGTTCAATGTGCATGTGGATGTTTGCTTAAACAGAGGCGTTATCCAGGAACTGAGAAGGGATCAAGTTAATCCTGTTAACCAACCCAAAGAAAGCACCAGAAGTGCTGGTGAGTTTGCAATCATTTTAAGGAACCTGATTTTCTAGAAATGTTTTATTAAAATTGAGATTGTTGTTAAATCTGAAACACATACTATTAAAGGGATAGTTTGTGTATGCTGCCATTTAGGAAAATGTTACTTACCATGGGTCAGGATTAACTGAAGCCGTTAGATTTTAAATTTGGGGAAAACTTTGATTTGGGCTGGATTTAGCACAAATGGACTTAAAGTTTTAGGGAGCAGAATAATCTAATCAAAAAAATTCCTTAGGGGCTAGTCCCGTGGTTTAATGGTTAAGTTCCGCACGTTCCACTTCGGCAGCCCAGGTTCATGGGTTCAGATCCCGGGCATGGACCTACACCACTTGTCAGCCATGTTGTGGCAGCGACCCACATATAAAATAGAGGAAGACTGACACAGATGTTAGCTCAGGGCGAATCTTCCTCAGCAAAAAAAACAGGGAAATTCCTTTGGAGAACATTTCCCAAGGCACAGTGGTAAATTAACTGTAATTACATAGCTAGAAAGCCTCTTTAACTTGTTTTTTGGTATTCTGACTGTAGCCCAAATTCAGAAATAAAAGCAAGTGTTATACTAATAAAACAAGTAAATTACAAAGAAATTATGCTATAAAGTTAGTTTCTGGAATGTATAAATGTGAACTATGTAGTACCAAGGAAGTTTTATCATCTTTAATTAGTCAGCTTTAACTTTTTAAATGTTTTTACAGCTTTTTAATTATTGCATGTTGTTCATTTTGGAATTTCTTGACTTTTCTTCCCTCTAAAGGTACCTCAGGCAGAGTACAGAAAACTTTAACAAAAACAAAAAGGTATGGCTAATGTGAGTTTGCATAAAACTGGCTATAAACAGTCATATTTTGAGGTCTAATTTTTAGGAGATGTTAAAATTTGCTTTTATAAATCATCAGATAAAATGTTTTAAATCGATTATTTGCAAAAGAATTTTTTTGATCTCTTCTTGCATTTTAATTGTGTGTTCTTTTTTATTCCAGGCCAGGGTTGATGACAAAGCACTCAGCATCAAAGAAAATAAAACCAAGCAATCCGAGACACACCCTTGATACATTTTTTAAATGAATGTTGAACATTTTATCATTAATTTTTAATTGAAACTTGTTATAATCAATGAATCTATTCTTCCTCATTTTAAGTTGACAGATTCATTTAGTGAAAGGCAAGTGCAATAATCCTTCCCCAAATGACATTTCCTTTATATGAATTTGGAATATATACTAATTTACTTTTGTATATCTTTTTGATAACCATGAGAATTTTATTTCCATTATACATCGATTGGAAGTCATTCCTGTTAAAGATCGTTTTTAAACAAGAAATTAGGAATGAGATCAGAAAGTGATTTCCTTCTTTATTATATGAATATAAAAACATATGTTTGTAAGGGCTCAGAGGTTTATACAAACCTATTTTAGCATGCGAATTTTTCCGCGTTTAACCGCTGCATTGGCGCTGGACTGCTATATTTGATCTTAGTACCTTGTACAACTCTGTGTATTCCTGTTTTAGCTCCTAGTATCTTCAGATACCTCATGAGCATTCATAATTCATATTTATCATAAGTTCTATGAAGAATATTAGCATAGCAAAGCTA